TGAGCCACACAATGAAGCTATGGGAAAGAGCAGTGGAAGCTAGGCTAAGAAAGGAAGTGGATATCTGTGAGCAGCAGTATGGCTTCATGCCCAGAAAGAGCACTACTGATGCAGTTTTTGCTCTGAGAATGTTAATGGAGAAGTATAGAGATGGTCGGAAGGATTGTGTCTTTGTGGATTTAGAGAAAGCGTACGACAGAGTGCCAAGAGAGAAGCTATGGTACTGTATTACGAAAAACTGGAAAGGAGGTGGCGCTCCACTAAGTCAGAAGAGTTTTTCATAGCCTGGAAAGCTAGTTTAATAACATATAAGACAGCCCTTCATAGTGCCAGAACCGCATTTTATTCATGACTGATTGAGGAAAATAAGAACAACCCCAGGTTTCTTTTCAGCACTGTAGCCAGGCTGACAAAGAGCCACAGTGCTGTTGAGCTTAACATTCCCTTAGATCTCAGCAGCAATGACTTCATGAGCTTCTTTACAAATAAAATCACAACTATTAGAGAAAAAATTGGTCGGACCACTCCCACAGCTCTCACAGATGTGCCATCTACTACAGTGGCTTTAGAAACATCTGTAAGACCTCATTTATACTTGGACTACTTCTCCCCTATAGATCTCTCTGAGCTGACCTCAACAATTGCTTCATCTAAATCATCAACATGTCTCCTGGACCCCATTCCGACCAGGCTGCTCAAAGACGTCTTTCCCCTAATCAACACGCCCCTATATTAGATCTGATTGACCTCTCTTTATTAACAGGTTATGTTCCACAGGCTTTTAAAGTTGCTGTAATTCAGTGGTTCTCAAACATTTTCTGTCATTCCCCACTTAAAAGGGTGGGCGAATTTTCAAGCCCCACTTGTCAAGAAAATAATAACAAAATCGGCCAATTTTAAAATTTCAAATTTACTGAAATATCAAATAACACCAAGCTCAAAACAGATAAAATATAAGTGCAACTGTATCGTTTGACAGGGGGATAGTTTTCAATTTTGCAGCACTTGTCTCATCCAGAATAATGTCTACAGCAGCAGGGAGAATGAGCTGCTCAGCAATTGTGTGTGATTTTTTTTGCACTGGACAATTCTGTATGCCATTTTGAATGAAGCCATTTGTCCTTTGCTGTTCACTGATGCAGATTTTACCATGCGATTTTCCTCCTGATAGTTTTCTGCCAGCTTTCTTTCAAAGAAATTTATTTCTAAAATCCTTGGAAAAGCTGTTGCAAAGCAGTTATGTGGTCTATATGCCACCATTACCCATCACTGTGTGTCCTCTCTCTCTCCCTGTACCTTTCTGCAGGTTGCCCTGGCTCTGGAGCTCTATGTTTCTGATGAGCAGTCACCGGCCACATCAACCTGACCAGTGTTTGATTGTTTGTTGTGTCTTGTTGCTTTTCTTCTTTTGTCTCTCCTCTATCCACTCACCCCAACCGGTCGAGGCAGAAGGCCGCCCACCGAGAGCCGGGGTCTGTCGGAGGTTTCTTCCGTTAAAGGGAGTTTTTCCTCCCCGCTGTCGCCAAGTGCTGCTCAGGGGGGTTTGTAAGTTTTTTCCTTGATGATAATAATAATAATGTCTAGACCTTGCTTTGTAAAGTGTCTTGAGATGACTGGTTGTGAGTTGGCACTATACAACTAAAACTGAATACCAACCACTGTATCCAGACACTTACCACTGGTGGTGCTTTCACAGACAGTTTCGCTGAGCTGGCCGGGGTTGGGGTTCCTATCTACATTGATCTGAACCTGGACACAGTACTCGGTCCATGGCTCCAGGTCCTTCAGAATCACATGGTTTTGCTGTGTGTTGTTGATGTGTCTGGCCTATAGGAAGCAAGAGAAAAGTGGTCAGGTGAGTACTCTAGTCCACCCACAATTGCCTGAAGACAACAGAGTGAGATGAGATCTACCATAGGTGGCCACTGATAATCATAGGACAGTACAGAATTTTCGTCCATCACAGAACATGTGTTAAACGTTTGGTTAAAGACAGATTAAAAAACTGCCAGTATGAAGTAGGTTCAGTGATGATTACATCTGTAAAGCACATGTTTAAAATACCTATTAATAAAATTGTGGAAATTCTTAGTCAGCCAGGTCATGGCATATCTGAATAATAATGAATATGTCTAAAGCATGGGAAGGACCTAAGTATGCAGACCCATTGCTGAGGAATACTTTAACAGACTTTTAATATGGAGAACAGCAGACAGAGCGACAAGGGGAAAAAACTCAAGGAGCTCAACCTGACATCATGTAACAAATCAACTAAAAATAACAACAAAAACAGTTCAGCCAGGGAGCGAGGGAAACTAAAATCAAACTCACACTCCAACAAAACTGAAGAAACAAACCAAGAATCCTTTATACAAGTTAATCCAAAACTCAAAGAAAAACAGACTGAAGGAACCCAGGGCAGGAACAAACAGAAGAAGGAAACAGACTTACAAGAGTAACACAAACTGGCAGGGTGAGCAGACGCAGCAAGCACAACAAACCAGCAAGCTATTGAGGGAAAGATGTAGCATATATACACAGGCAACCAAGGGCTAATGAGGGACAGGTGAACACAATGAGTGGTGACTGTAGACTGGGGTAAAGCTGGGGCAGGTGAGGTGTTTGCTCACCTTTGAGTACTAAGTCAACGCATCTAGACTCCTGTCTAGCAGAACCTGCTGTTTATTCCTGAACTGCCAGCAATCCTGTTAGACTCTCAGTCCGTTCGCCTGTGAGTTCCCAAGATACTAAGGACACCAGCCTGACTCCTGCTATATTATCTGCTGTCTGTCCCTGAGTTGTCCTTGACTCTCCTTTTCCTGATGCCGTCTGCTACTCTCACCACCACCTCAGTCTACTACCACCACTCTGCACCGATTCTCCACTACATGGTCAACATCTCCTGCCTTTGTCTGCTTGCATGTGAGTAGCCCTGTATCACCAGCTAGACTGGCCCTACTTACCCCCACTATTACCTTTACTAAGTACCTGTCCTACCAGTTACTCTTTTCCCACCTCTGCTTTGTTCCTGTGAGCTCCTGGGCCCACGATGGAACTACTCCACTCCCATCCTGTCTGTTCCCACTCACCTGAATGTCCAAGGTCCTCTGGCCGAACTGACTCCTTCCTGGTTTGTCTTCACTCACCTGAACGTCCAGGTCCTCCGGCAAAACCTACTCCTGCTCTGCCTGTTCCTCTCGCCCGGACCTCCAGCTGCACCAGCCCATCTCCAGTCTGCTCCACTTACCTGTACCTTCCTGTGCCCTGTATCTCACCAGTAATATGCCAACTCACCAGTGTGTTCCTGGCCCTGCAGCTCCACCCAAGTTCTCTCCTGCCTGTCTGACTCCCCTGAGGTCTCCTGGACCCACGGTTATATTTTGGTTCATTGTAGCCTATTCTTGAATAAAGACTTTCTGAGCTCCAGTCTAGCCTTGTTCTGCATTCTGGGTGCTAGTCCTGTGTGAGCGTTCCCTAATAGGAGAACGTTGCTGGGGAGAGGGATGTCTGGACCACCCTACTGAGCCTACTGCCTCCATGACCCCAACAAAGATATGCAGCTGCTAATAGATGGGTGGATGGACAACGACCATAAAAGTGCAGTGACTTTAGAGAGTTTTATTTTTCATGAAATCAAGTTTATTTTCTGACTGATTAAATCAAGTTTAGTCTACAACAGGAGGCTGTTGCTGACATCCACAAATTAAAATAAAACTTCATGTGCAAATAAACATGGCACTGCCCCTATTCCAATTAAATGTAAGATGGAACTGATTGAATTCCTTTCAAAATGCCAAAGTTTCTTAATATCATAGTCAGCAATTTAAATTTTTTATTAAAAAGCATGCTCTGAATTGTCTGTGGCTTCATCCTGTCCTCTGCTGGTCAGACTCAACCCTAAAGTCCAAAAGAATTCAGCTTATTTTCATACAGAGCTCATTAGACTCAACTATTAAATACAGGAAATGAGCATGTGTTTTCTTATTCACATCAGCATATGGGCTTAGTTGAAAAGTGACCATGTGGGGTACCCTGATAGCTGAACGGTTATGGTGTGGTGCACTCTATACCCACGCTCTGTATGTGCACAACATCGGTGGCTTAAGCCCAGCCGCCAAACTTTGTTGCAGATCCTCTCCCCTGTTTCCTGTCTGTCCCGCTGTGATCCACTTAAATAGTAAATAAATGCAAAATTGCCCAAAAATAACTTAAAAAAGAAAAGGGGCCTATGCATGTTGACTGCAGAAAGGGTGAACACATTACTTTACGTTTTCTATTCTGGTTGTTCAGTGGGTGTTTGAGAAATTGTTCATACTCTCTCCATTACTGGCAGACTTTATTAAGTGGTGTTGCCTGAAGTGAAATACAGCATCATCTCTAGTCTGCAGTGTGTGTGAGCGACTCTACCTCCTTCCTCGTCTTAAACACAGAGTTATTTGGTCATCGTGACATAACTTAAAACATCTCCAGGCTGCTTAATTTTCCTCTCCTCTGCTTAAGTTAACATTATGTTACCATTAAGTGGTACTGGAGTGTAGAATCAGATAACAGAGTATTAGAGGGCGGTTTACTTGAGGGTGGTATTGGACCCGCTACCTCATACTGGTGTTGGTACATCCCTACTGTCATTTCAAAACATGACAGGTTTTTGTCATGGGTAACCAAACAAAGTATCAGATCCCTAATTCTAATGGTTAATAATGTTTTACTCTTCCCTACCACACAGGAACCATAACTCTGGAATAAAAATGTCTCCCACCTTTTCCTTCTGGCTGCCGTTCCAGTAGGTGATGCTGTAGGTGGCAAATGCATACGTATTCCTGAGTGTTGAGATAACGAACACTGGATCTACAATGCTGACGTAGATAGCAGCCCCATTGGACAAGAGAGACACACGGGGTGAACCAATGATGGCTGAGGAGGAGAAAATACCAGGAAATGTGAAATGTGTTTATTTAACAATATTTCTGTTTCAGCTACATTTCAGATTCAAATTGTATTTGTAAATAAAATGAATCCAAGTGAGATATTTCAGTGCAATCCAGGATCTTTGTAAGAAATACTGAAAAAAAAAATCAACAGTTACTCTGATAATGTAAATAAAATGCCTTCAGGTATGAAACAAAACCAAACTGCATGATCAAGATCAAAAAAGTGCAGCTGCTACTAAAAATATTATCAGTGAAATAAAGCAGCATACATCTTTGTTTGATCAGAACAGAAATTTCTAAAATGCTAAACATCACACACATTCGACATCCCACTCTAAAAAGATGACATGGCTAACATATTAGCTAAGACTGACAAACATAAGTCCATTATTCAATCCCTCTTTAGCTCTGTTGTCTCCGCCAACTCCTGATAAAATGATCTGGATTTTTAACTGCTAAATGTTGTGTTTACAAGCTAGTTGCTAACATTGTCCATGTGCTGCTTTGTACTGGGCAGGTAGTGGTTTTTTAAACAGAGCATATGAATGGTGGAAATTGCCGCTCCCCGGCTCAAAGCCCCATCAGGCCGCTCGGGTCATTATCACTCAGCGCTCAACTCAGATTGCATCCCGCTCCACTCACATCACACCCGCCCCCCCCCAAAAGGAAAATAATCTGCATATGTTTTATCTTAAACTGTTACCTTACAGCCAAAAGAACTAATTTTTTTATAAATAGAAACAATTTATTTCAAATTACAGTTAGGCCTACGTAACAAGGAATATAACAAAAGTTATCATGTACAGGGTTTTTCATGGAAAAGCCACTGAACACAGAGTGTCTACTCACTATCTCTGTCCAAGATAATCTGCTCACTTTCCACCCAGGCGGAGCTCGCTGACCCCAGCTGTGCCCGCACTCTGCCGGTGTATGTTCCATACTCAATGATGGGTGGATGCATGGAGACACTGAGGCTGGTGAAGTCACATTCAAGGGTGATGATGTCTACACAGCCTACATTGTAGTTTGTGACTGAGGTTCTGTGGACAAATCATAGTACTAGTAATACTTACTTGTCAGCAGTAATTTCACTTTCAAGTGTGTTTGAGATGACAGCAATCAAAAAGTATGGCAATGGAAAATGATAACTTTTAACCAGCTGTTGCTGTCAAATAAATAAATAATCATTACACCTTAAATATTCTGCCCATATTTTTCTTATATTTGTTAAACTGCACTAATTAGCTGAAAAAGCATTATTTCCATTCTACACCGTAATGTATATTATCACCTTAATTTTGTTTATGGCTACCATATGGCATATTTAAACATCCAGCAGACACAACACAACACGGTCACTCATATGGAGCCACGTCTGTGTCCACCTCAAGAATCTAAGGTCAATATTCCCCCTCTTTTAGCTGTTTTTGGTCTCTGACAACTCCTTAGGGAAATATCTGGCTCTTTAGCTGCTTGACTAGGTTCAACAGTTAGTCTCTAACTGTGTCTGGCTGCTGTTGAGCTGCCAAGCAGGGAGTGTACAGTGGCTCTATGGAATATTTCTGTGAAAACAGCTGCCTGCTGCCAGGGATGTACCGATCCGATACTCAGTATCGGTATCGGCTGATACTGTGCAAAATTATTTGGATCAGATATCGGATAAAAGAATTTAATCCATCTGATCCGATACCATGTAGCAACGTTTAGCTAAACTTAAACGGACATATCATAAAGCAAGTGTTGCATCGGTTCTTTTTACCATGCTAACTCTGAGAGACGAGGCAGTCCAAGTAACTACAAAACAGTGCTGATTTATTCAATGAACACAGGTAAAAAATTAACATTACACGCTCAGGAGTCTTTGCACTTCCAACATGCACGCAGGCAGATGAAAGATGAAAGACCCTGAACCACAACGGGCCTATACATTATATCACTTCGGGCTAACCCCATTCTACACAGGAGATGCCAAGCCGTGGCGTCTCCCAGGGACAGCTTTGCAGCTGCCCAAAGCAGTAGTCAAAGCATGAAGAAAAATCAATGTGTGATTGTCTGTTGATTATGTGGCGTGTAGCTAAAAAAAACATTCTAACACGACCTCTAGTGACATTAAACATAAGAAAATATTATGGCTATGGCTACAGTTATACACGTCATAATAATAATATTAAACATCCTGTCTCCTGACAGTCATAAACTTTTCTATCTAGTTATCGTTGACCATAAGCAACCTGCAGCAACTCATGAGAATGACTAAGCATTTAACAGCCTAAGCTACACACCCTGTCTACTCCAAACATTCCTAATACATAAAGTACCTAACCAATATCTATCTAACTAAAAATACCTAACACAAGTGAGCAGGCCGCAGTATGTGTCATGTGAAGTGTAGGTAATGCATCATGGGTAGCACATGCTAGGCTAGTTTCAGAAGCTAGTGCCGCTATGTGGATATGTCAGCCGTGTGGACATACTTTAGGCTTCCAGACGAGGGAAGCAAAACAGCCGAGTGCAACCTGTGCAACGTGAGTGTTTCCAGGGGTGGAAGTACCAAAGCCAACTTCAACACTTCAAACTTGATTAAACATTTGCGTAAGCACCACACACAGGAGTACGAAGAATATATACAGACAACCAGTGCTAAAAAGAAAAGCGTGCCGCCTCAACAATCGCTGCAGGAAACATTATAGAGGCGTAGCAGTGTTCAATATCTTGATTTATGTTGTGGGCTTTTCTTCCTTTTGGGGATTAAAATATTTGTTTCATAGTTTTGACACATGATTTTTAGACGGCCTGGTTAAGCAGTAAATCTATACAAATATATTAACAATTTACTTGGTATTGGACAGGAATCGGTATCGGCAGATACTAAATTTTGTGGTATCAGTATCGGTATCGGATGTGAAAAACTGGTATTGAGCCATCCCTACCTGCTGCTGCTGGAAACAAGAGTGGGCCACAAAGACAAAAACAGAGGTCCAAAAATAGAATTACAAGCAGGAGCTCCACTGGAGCTCACCCCCTTCTGACAGCATTCTCAAATCTGATACTTTTGGTCTAAAATGTTAGCTCTCAGAAACAGCCTCAACGTGTTGCGTTGAGTAATGCTTGTCAGGTGTTCTGCGTTTGTTTCCACCACAGTGCGCCCATTTTGGAGGTGTGTTCTGGGAGCTAAATTTCAGCACCCCTCAGGAATTAGTACTAAAATCAAGTACCAGGGCTGTGTGTGTGCAGAGCAGTTACTGGTGACTGGTTAAATGTCTTCCCACCTTTAAGCATTAGCATTACAAGCACCGTGTGAAATCACACAGCTGAATGCTTGTGTGAGAAGGGCCCTCCCTCCTCTAAACAGCGACCGACGCAGTGAAAATACAGTGGAAAACAAAGCAGGATGGTTGCCGTCAACCCCAGAGGCTGTGCTTGGTGATGGTTCAGGGATGTACAGGGTGTATCGCTCATTAGGGCCAGATAGTGTTATGGCTTAGTCCCCCTCACCAGGAGGGTGAGGGAGAACTGAGGTTGGACTCAAGATTGCAGACACAGATGCTAGTAAAAAAAAAGGAGGTTTAATGGAACAAAACACAAAGTAACAAGATAACAAAGATCATGAACATATATAAACAGCAAAGTAGGGTAGAGATGGTGGAGGAGACCGGGATGACCAGGGGAAAAGACAGGCCAACAGCAAAAGAAACAGGAGAGTGGGAGGAACAGGATGGACAGGGGAATAGACAAGCTAACCAAGGGGACAGGCGGACAAAAAGGGAAATCCACAGCACAGGAACTGTCAGCGTGGATAACAAAAGAATGTCTAGCTAACCACATGGAAAAAAAAACAAACTCAGAGATCCACAGCACAGGAACTGTCAGCGTGGAAAACAAATGACGTATAATTCATACCACGACAATAGGTCTGTTACGGGGTATGCGAGTTACAGTAGTTAATGCTCCAGCGATGACAGATCGTCCGCCAGAGGTATAAAAAAGGTAGAAGGGTGATTACAGTGATGCGCCCCAGCTGTGCGCGACAACCCACAAGTCACTGATTACAAAATGCGACACAGCTGAGGCGCTGATCCTGCAAAAAGAGCGAGCAGGAGAGAGAAAGGCAGAAGAGAGGCAGGTCGCGCCGAGCAGACCTGACAGATAGTGGAAACACAGCATTAGGTCGCTGACGCCAACACACAGCAACAGTATTGAGGTGTCTCCATACTGAAAGAGCTGTGCTCAATTAATGCTAATGCAGTTTTTTAGTTTGTTTTATTGCTGAATTTTTTTGTTTCGGTTCTGACACAAAGCTCTGGTCAGGTATTATAGGGCTGTGCCCTCATTGGTCAGCAGCTTTTGTAGTGACAGACAATGGCTAGGAAGTGGTGTCACTTTATTTATCTTCTGGCTGCCATCTGTATTGCAAAATACAGGTACTAGAGGATGAGTGGCCAAGATAATCACCCATGATAGCCAAATAGCTTGGTGTAAAACAACATGAGCTTGTTGTGGGACATCTGTGCCTGCTGTCGGGCACACGCACACTTCTTCTTTTGATGCACTGTAACAGGTACAACAGGTAAGGAGGTCACCATTGCGTTATATGTCATGTTAGTACATGGTGTGTTATTATTAGCTTTAGGCGCCGACAGAGATGGTAGCCTTGGTTGCTCGCACTGTCTTGTGTTTGTTATTGTTTTTTGTTTTCTTGTTTTCTTGCAACTCATCCCGGATTACTTTTACCAGAGAACAACTGTTAAATATTGGACAACTCACACCAAACTACCCTCCTCCGATTTTTGTGAACGAAGAATGCTGTATGGACATTCTGATCGGAGGCACAGCGGCAATATTCGGGACCAGGAAAAAATGCCTCTGTGGAAAGTGGGCGGGCTCCTTGGTAAGTGTATGACAGAGGGGAACAGGGACTCCACTCCCGTCTATCCACCTGGCAATCTCCGCTCCCTGGTCAACAAGATGGATGAAATTCTTCCCGTCAACAGGACTAACTCTGAATTTGCATGCTCTGCTGCTTTGTGCTTCACGGAGACCTGGCTGAGCGACTCCATCACGGACAACGCGATACAAGTACTGGGCTTCCAGGTGTACAGAGCGGATCACGTGACAGAGCTGTCCGGGAAAATGAGAGGCTGCAGCTACAGACCTGGACGAACTCACTGACACTGTCACATCTTATATCAGCTTCTGTGAGGATGTGTGTGTGCCCCAAAAGACCTTCTGCACATACAACAACAAGCCCTGGTTTACAGCAAGACTCAAGCAGCTTCGTCATGCCAAAGAGGAGGCTTACAGAAGTGGGGACAGGTACAGCCAGGCCAGGAACACACTGACAATGGAGATCAAAGCAGCAAAGAGGAGCTACTCTGAAAATCTGAAAGCTCAGGTTTCAGCCAACGACCCCTCGTCTGTGTGGGGGAGCCTGAAAACCATCACTGGCTATAGAAAATCATCCCCCCTGCTGTGGAGGACCATCAACTGGCAGACGACCTGAATGCATTCTACTGCAGGCTTGTCAATCAAAAATTAACTGTACTTAGGAATCTGTTTACTCAATAAAAACTGTAATCCATTCTGTTAATGTAAGAGCATACAAAAGGTTTAATAGAAACGCTGACGCCAATCGGGTTAGCTTTCAACAACTAGCGTTACTACTATAAGTTAGTAGTTTTGCATGTACAGCTTCCGTTAACCTTACTGCTGTTAGCTAAAGGTAGCGCCATAAGTAAACACCCTAATGAAATAGCTACCGGTAGCAATACGGCATCTTCACTGTTTAGCCAAGTAGCTAGCCTGCGACAGGAAGACGGCTACCGGGCAATGGACATCACAGCTCGAGCTCGCGGTGTCCACCATGCCATGTCCCCGTTAGTAAAAAGCAAAACAAAAAACAAGGACATCTCACCTTTTATGCATGCTTTGCAGAATTGGTGTTATCGTTTCATAATACTGGTCCTCGCTGCGAGCCAAGCCAGCCATTTTCACCCGCTTTGGTGCTGCTAAAGAACCGGGATGCAGCGGAAGAGGAGGAGAA